ACTAACATAGGTATATTATATTATTATTATATCGTGGAATGTGTGCTTTTAATAATAGGCACAATTTGAAGCTATCGCATATATTCAAAAACCAACGATCGCTAAACATAACTCGTCGTTTTTAAACCACTTCATAAACTATGATATAGAACTATTCTATGTAGCCCTCGTGTCAACCAATATTATAGTTTTTTATGTATCGTAAACCATAAATCGAAATCCGTGAAAATTATGTAGAAATAAGGCGTATCGTACAGTGCATTGTATGATTAATAAGCTGTTCAACCAACGTGTGTACCTTGAATTTTCCTGATCTAAAACCATTATAATATTATTATATCACAGATTTGTTAGTACAATAAATTCAAATTTATAATAGTCGTGTATGAAACTATATTTTATACAAACAACGTGTAGATAAGATAAGTTTCTGCCGCTAGGGGACTAGTAAATATTATAATAATATGTAACTTTATGCATCCTACCGTGACATATCACCAGGTACGTATAATCTTAGGGAAACGATCGCCACATATCGTCGGTTAAGCTCGTGGTCATGATTCTATTCACCGACTGCATAATAAATAATAATAATAATAATAATAATAATAATAAATAACATCATAACTTTATAATAAGTATAATAAGCATTAACGAACAGGAACTCAAAAACGGTTATTTCGTGGTTCACTGCCATAATTTTGACGGAATCAAGATTTTCAATAAATAAATTAGAGTTTATCGATATATATCGGTCACATTTTGAGTGTCCAAGTAGTTACACGTGCAGTACACAACCGATACATACCGACCTGCGTGTATCTGGTGTGTAACTATTCCTTATCGATACGTATAAAGTTGTTCCGTAAAATCTTGAATACATACATAGTCGCAGTTGCAAAACAAAAAAACTATAGAAAATGGTCGATAATCGGACCTGTTGTATATTCAGCATTTATATTATATGATATTACACGTACCTATACTTTTTATACTAACAATAATCATAAGTATCATATTATTACGATCGGTGAAGACTGTCCATCGGTTATTAGCGAGTAGAACTATAATGTACGTCATTAAGATTTATACTGTTAATAAATGTCTATATAATACGTTTATGTTATTTATGTTATTTATATTAATAATACATAACAAATTGGTGACGAAGAAAATAATAATTTAATCGTAATCACTAGTGCATTAGAAGTTTCAAGTTTTGTATTCATACTAATACAAAATGGCAACTCCTAAGACAGAATCCACAACGAACTTCAATCAAGTTATTGGGTCACCTGGAAACTTTGAAACAAGTATGGATATTATAATTTTCGAGTCAAAATTGACAATTTTTTTTTTGGCAATCAATACAATCGAAAACAATATTCAAAAAAGAGCAATTCTATTATCATCAGTCAGTGAGGAAATTCACGAAGTATTTTTTAGTTTATGCCTATTATGGCCATTATGGGGTTACCATGTTATTATACCAGCTAAATTTCGAAATAATATACTCAAGGAACTTCATTCATGTCATATGGGTTCTTCCAGTATGAAAAGTTTAGCGAGATCATACTTTTGGTGGCCAGGAATGGACAAAGAAATCGAAAATAWCAMACAAAGTTGCGACAATTGTATTAATGTCAGGCAAAATCCACCAAAATATGTAACATTGCCTTGGAAATGGCCAAAAAAACCGGKAACTAAAGTGCATTGCGATATTCTTGGACCATTTCAAAATAAATATTTTTTTGATATTGTTGATGGAACCAAAAAATAGAAGAAGTATTTCAAATAAATTCTATGACAGCAGAAATTGTTATTCAAACATTTTCAGAAACAATAGCACGATTTGGAATTCCAAAAATAATTATATCATAGGTTTTGAATTTCAAGCATATTGCAAAAATCTAGGTATAATGTATATGACAGGCACTCTATTTCACCCAGAATCAAACGGCTGTGCGGAATCAGCAGTAAAAACAATAAAAAATTTCTTTAAAAAATGCTCGACTACAAGCCCAACTAAATAAATTTCTTTTGATGTATCGTAATACACCTCATTCAACAACACGAGAAACGCCAGCTAAGCTAATGTTAGGTCGATCAGCATGTTAACAATTTGACRCGTTAATTCCGAATACAAGTGAAATGGTTATTGAACGACAAATATCACAAATAAACAATGATGGTAATAGAATAGTATCATTTAATACAGGCGATAATGTTTTAGTTAGAGATTATAGGAATAATAACAATAAATGGCAAAAAGATAAAATTATCAAATCCATTAGTTGTAATACACACGATGTAGAGCTCTAAGACGGAACTAATTGGAAGAGACACAATGATCAATCACTCATTGATAAATCGCCGACACTAGCGAATAATTCAATTTCACTTACACCAGCTAGACAAATAAATTAAAATACTAAATATATCAAAACAGTAGGTGCAAAACAAAATCCTGATACTACAATAATAAATAAAACACCCAAACCAATTAGATCTAGAAAACCACCTCAGCGATATTCTCCAAGTGATTATAATTAATGTAATYAAACTTACWAAYAYACTAACATAGCGATTAAGTAATACACAAAATACTATTTATATTTTTTTTAAGGAAAAAGATATTGCATATTCAACATTWATATTATATGATATTACACCTATACTGTTGTTTATACTAACAATAATCATAAGTATCATATTACGATCGGTGGGGGCTGTCCATCGGTTATTAGCGACTAGCGAGTAGAACTATAATGTACGTCATTACGATTTATACTGTTAACAATAAATGTCTATATAATACGTTTATGTTATTATTTATATTAATAATACATAACAGGAAGGAATGATATTGATACTTGAAAATACGGCCACATGACAATGGTAATAAAGCTAATAACACTGATCAACTGAAAATCGCATATTATGGTAACCCACTCGCCACATGAACCGCTAACAATGTGGTCGGAAGTCGAACYGTATAACATATTAATATTATTATGTTCTATGGTCAACACGAAYCACCTACGACAGACTATAGGTACTGGTTCAGAACTTCGCGAGATGTCGTCCGTGAGTTAAATCACAATGAAGTTATAAGTTATACAACGTTATATCAACTATGTTCATGTGCACAATGTTATCCATGGTTAAATAAGCTTGACTGTACCGACCACCGAAAGGTTTAGGTTTAATTTAATGGAGTGGGCTTACTGCTACATGCATATTGAATATATTCTGTTAATTATCAGTTTGGCTAAGGACTTCATTTCTAAAGAAATACATCATGAGTTTATACGCTGAGTAAACTTCAACTATGCGAAAGCGCTTAAATATGCATATCAATATTAAATAAAAATGAAACATAGATTTTTTTATTTCTATTATAGTAAAAATTAGTTTTTTAATAAGATTGTACAAATAGAAGAAGTTATTAACTTATTGATACACTGACTGATCAAAATAGTCATTCCATTTACTATATACGCACATAGCTGTGAGAATAGTCTTAGTATATGCTATTGGTGTGGCCATGTTAAAAATATACATATAATAATCGATATTTATTGATTATAAAGTTTGTATTTGTATGTGAATACTTTTTTCACTCCTATAAAATATATAGTGTAAGTGGTTTCGATAAATATTATAAAACCATACCATATTATATCGCATATTAAATTATATCCATATCTATAATACACTTTTGAAGATTTCATTTTTTTTTTTTTTTTAATACATAGGTATAGAATCAAGATAATACCAATTTCAAAATGTAATCAAAATATGTACTTAAAATAAAGCGAATATGCGATACATAGCTTTATCAAAAGGCTTACGTTTTAATAATTATTAGAAAACATGCCAACTCGTAGAATTCTCTAGCTCTATATATTAGTATCTCACTACCGACAAGTCACAACAATGGTTGTAGTCGTACATGTTCTATTCCAGATCCGTCTCGTCATCATGAATATTCATAACATCATTATCCATAACATCCTTTTACTTTTTTATAGAGTGTGGATCATAGTATTTTATCGAAGAGACGAGGAAGTATGTATGCTAATATGTGGGTCACAAATCCAAATTATACTCTTGAAGTGGATATTATGAACAATGTCATGTATTGTTAGACATATCTACCTATTTCGTTAATCAAATATAATTTATTTTTCTTTATAATTAACAGATCGGCTTAATATATTTTAACACGTTATGTGAACCTGTGGTAGTCGTTGTAATAGAACTATTACATTTTGTWAGCGATGTCCCTAGCAAATTGTTGTTCGGGGTAATCACGCTTTTGATGGATATGTCTAATGACAAGTGGACTGTATGTGTTTAATTAAATATACATATAACATATATAGTATATACAAAAGAATTTATTYGAAATATAACCAAATCCATGTATCTTATCAAATATATCAAATAATAATAATTGTACGAAATTACAATACAATAATTATAATATTTAGAAATTAAATTATACCAATAAAAGAACAATAAGCAAATCAAAGTAAACAAAAACTCTTAYCGCGTACTGCGTCACTGCAACAGCCGATAATAAGGTTTACGCGACAAATATCAACGTAAAATAAAAGAGTAMACAACAAATTACGTAGAACTTATCAACGCAATAAGACACGGTGAATAAAAACCCGTCAGCGGCCCGTATATATAGGGACCGTCGCGGATAGCTCAGCAGAAGGAGAAGAAGAACTTACCGACGTTTAAGTTAGTATCTCGCCTTAACCACTTTTGACGGCCTTGCAATGTCTGAAGATACTCATTGGTCCATCGTTTCCAAAAAYTKTGTTGCRCTTGTTTAATCAGCTGCCATCTAGTTAGACGATTCATCTTAACGTCCATCAAATCAGGTTCTGGAATTGCCATGAGGGGTTGTCCTATCAGAAAGTSCCCAGGAGTTAATGCACATAACTCGTTCGGGTCACTGGAGACACAAGTGAGTGGACGAGAATTTAAGATTCCTTCGATACGATAATTAGTGTGGTCAATTCCTCCATGTTCATTATTTGGTCACCGATGGCCTTTCGCAAATGAGTCTTGACACTTTTAATTGCCGCCTCCCAGATCCCTCCAGAATGAGGGGCTGCAGGTGGATTAAAATACCACTGACACGGGATCCTTTTATTAGAACTCATTAAAGTGTCCCGGGTTTTTGCTTCGTTGAACAAAGCTTTCAATTGCCGAGTGRCACCTAACTAATTTGTTCCATATTCAGAACGTATTTCAACTGGAATTTCACGACGAGCAGTGAAACGATCGGAGGCGGCAAGAAACGCTTCCGTGGATAAGTCRCTTACCACTTCCAGATGGACTACCTTTACTGATAGACACACAAATAGAGCAAGATAAGCCTTGTTAGTCTTGGCACCTCGTCGACGGCTTTCTTTAACATTAAACGGCCCACCGTAATCCATACCAACGAATGCGAATGGTCGATGAGGCTGTACTCGTACTGGTGGCAASKCTGACATGACTGGTTGTGGACACGCAGCTCTACGGCGCACACATCTAACACATGCATGTGTCATTTTCCGAATGGCTGCACGTCCTGATACAAWCCAATATTTCCTTTGAATCATGATGATAACTAATTTTGGTCCGGCATGTAGAAGGCTCAAATGATAATGGATGATAATTAATGATAACTGCGTAACATGAGCAGCCTTAGGGAGCAGAACTGGATGCTWAGCTTCCTCGGTCAGAACCGAGAAACGAAGTCGACCGCCGACACGTATTAATCCTTCATTATCCAGATATGGTGACAACTGAGTAAGTGAGTTTGGGGTTATCGATGCCGATGTATTTTCCAACTGCTTTCGTGAGCCTTCCCAATAAAAATCTTGCGTAAGCTTAATACTTATAAGAAGCGATAGATTGAGTTCAATTTGAGTAAGTGGACCTACCCCTGCTTACWGGCCTCTGTTTGCAACGGTCAATGAAGCGCCATACATACGCGAGTGTTCGTTGCATTCTCGTTAATGACGAAAAACGACGGAAGATCTCTTCTGATTCATTACATTTAAGGATATGTAACACACACTTGACTGGTTGTTTATACTCCGGAAGATGCTCGGAAGGAAGTCCTGTTAAAGTTTGACTCGGCCATTGTTCCTCAGGCTGCCGTAAGAATTCCGTACCGTTTAAATGCAACTGTGAAGAAACTAACTGGCGTGGAAGGAGAAGGGGGTGCCGCGTCTAGAATATTCTAGTGCTGTCGCGGTGACACAGGCGCAATATCGAATGATCGAGAATATTCTCGATCATTCCAGAGCTGTACCCAACACATTTAGCAGAAAATCATATGTACAGTGGGTAGTTATAACTTATAAATAAGTACTAGTGAAATAGCTTCCATAGAGAGGTGTCTTCGGGTCAACCCCATTGGAGAGGTGTAAAACTTCTTATCCTTAAATAGCGCTTTACTAAACAAGAACTTAATACCTCAATGATTGATATAACTTTTACGTATATTTGCTTAAAAGATGGCAGAAATATCACAGAACAAACAGAAGGRAATCATATTTAATTTAACATAGGCTCTTATGGGAGATGATAAAACTACGACCGAMATTTCTAGAAATTGCAGATTAACAGTGTAGCCACAAACCACAGAAAACTTAAAATAAAGGGAATTTCTCGGTACGTGGCAGCACGTTTAAAATCTAGAAATGTCGGACGGTTTTTCGATGAGCCTTAGATTCCCTTCTGTGTGTTCTGTGGAAATATCGTAGATGTTATCAGCATAATAATGTATAATAATCATAGCCAATTAAAATGTAAAAAAAATTTCAATATTAAAAATGTTTATTTAATCATGGATATTTTTTAAAACAAAAACATAACCTAACTTGGCTTACAAATTTACAGGGGAACTATTAATTCCATCGCATACCCTCCCACCCTTAGGGGCGTGCCTGTTTCTATAATATAACCTTCAGCGTAACGATACCTACCATCCGTTTTCTTAAGTTTCGTGCTGAATTGCTTTTAATGATAATATATACATCAGACATATGTCACATATAATTCACAGGAAACATGTATAGAAATAATGACAAAATTACATACGCTTCTATAAAGCGTATTTGGAGCATTCATTGTATAATAATATTATTAATTGTGTTATGTATTTTAGAAGTTTTGAAAATCTAATTAAGGTTTTGTTAAAATAATCACACAATGCATCAAATATAATAATTAAGCACATTTCGTATCTGCGTATTATCCGTATATTATAATATAGTCATAAATATATATAAAAAATATTAGATGGATTTTTTAAGCATATCTAATAAATTGTTATTTTACCTAAAATGATGTAACTGTATTATAATACTATAATTTTTAATATGAATAACATGCACACAAACATTATAAATTAATAATTTCATAAAAAAAAAATTATTTTCCAGTATAAATATTATTGTTGGTTTACACGTTGTCAATATGATTTCAATAAAATTAATTCAAATCTACTTTGCTTTACCCATATTAATTTTTAAACACAGGCTAATTGAGTGCATTTATTTGTGACTTAAACGTTCCAAACATACTGTGTGAATTAAAATGAACCATATTTAACAAGTATGTAAAAAAAATGATAATTGAAATAATAGATATTGTCATCATTCAAATTTAATTTAATTGGCAAATGTGTCTAATTAATTTAAAAAAATATATTATTTTAATAGAACAATGAAAACAATGAGATTTCATAAAAGCTATTCCATAAAACAACAATAATATTATTAAACATCACTATTATAAGGATTGTGACTTGTGTTATAAATATCAGTATCGTAATTGCTGAGATATTACTTATTATTTTGATATACAGTAATTATAAATATAAATTAAATATAAAATTGAATTTATGTCAACAAATAAATTATGAGCTATATACCTAATAAAATTGAATTTATGTCAACAAATAAATTATGAGCTATATACCTAATAAAATTGAATTTATGTCAACAAATAAATTATGAGCTATATACCTAATAAAATTGAATTTATGTCATCTATACAAAAAGAAATGTACAATAAGCATAATGGATAAAAAAAAATGTACTTACAATTTATATTTGAACAATAGTCTGCCAGAAAACTGTACTGACCATTAATTTAAAAACATGTTAAATACATGTACAATATTTATTACGTAAAAAAGCTGTTGAGGTGCAACGTTGACCATTTAATTTACATGAAACACCATTTTTTTCTGCAAAAATAAATTCAAACAAATAAATGTAGGTATATTCATTATTTAAATTACAATTATTTTAAAAACAAATAAGGTTCTTAAAAAAGACTATTAAATCAATGCATTGAATAACATAAGTTCATCATAAATTCATAAATTTACAACATTGTAGCATTAATTTTCAATGTACGCTATTGTATTTAGTCGAAATGCACGTGCATTGTAATATAATATATTGCTGACACTCTATAAATGTATGATCTATTCAAATGGATAAAACTATACCTATACAACGTTTACTTATTAGTTAATGGTTAATTACAACCATTAACATGTTTGTTATTTGGTATAACATAATTTTAATAATAATATTTTGATGTAGGAATTAATTTACAATCATAGTATAGGTAGGTACATATAATATAATATTCCCTCGTGGGCTTGGCCGTTATTTTTGTTAATTAGTTCAATACAATAGCCTACCTACTGCGGTAAATAATATTTATTATTGAAAGACTTTCGTAGGATTTAACTGATTAAAAAACAATAAAATCATCTAATAGTTTTATAATATTGTTATGATGTCGTCAAATATTTCTCTGCGTAACGGAATAATACATTTAACTACGGCTATATTCTATATACCAACCGATGATAATACAAATAGCAGGTATACGTTTTTGTTTTTATAATTTGAATACAACATAAGACGATAATTTTCTAATTGGTATTTTTGTTTTGAAAATATTTAAATGTGTTATTATGTGATAAACATCTAAAGTATAATAACCACACGTATATTTTCAATTGTGAGTATTATTTTCTAGTTAAACTGATAATATTTCTTTATAATATTTACAATGCGTGTTGTTAATAAATTATATTGATTTCAAACACAATGAAAATAATAGAAAGTAATGGCAATAAAAGTATCAAGTTATATTATGATTACCCTAACATAACATATACGAGTAAATTACCGTTCAATAGTTATTTTATTTTAAATATAATTTAAAATAATAAAACAATAAATCACATGTTCAGGGAATAAAAAATATACTCARAGTGTCCAGAGTGCTTATCCATTACATATTATCTATGATTCAGGTACGAAACCTATTCTGAGTACAATCATCGGCCGTTGTCACTATTAGTTCCCTGGAGAGTGACAAACCATGTTTTAAGTGACAATCCTCACCATACATACACATGTTCTAACCAATCATATTACCCTCCCCGCTATAGTAAGCTTACTAAATCTATTAATAGCTAACGGCATAACCATAGATGCTGGGCTAAAGATCAAAGAAAAAAAATATTTAAGCCTTCTACAAAAATAAAAATACATTTTTAGGATTAATATTAGAGTTATTTTTTTCAAATAATTCTTGCCGTTTGAAAACAATAATAAATAATTAAACTTGAATTTAAGAGGAATGGTACATAATGTATTTTACCCATATTTCTACGGAGGTTTTAAAAATTTGCTGAACGAACAGTTGAAAAATTTCATTCTGGGTTTTAGGATTCCCTGCTACAATTTCAAATTCCAAATTGATTGAAACTATTATTATGAAACCTGGAATGGATCAATGGATCAATAATAAAATATACATATTCACTGATTTTTATAAACATGATGGATCATCCAATTTAAGGATTTATATGAATACATAATACATATATTATGTTATATTATATAAAATATATATATAACTACTTAATATAATAGTGTGGAGTAAAATAGTGCATAATATATTATATTCTTCATCATTTTATGGACACATGAAATTTGCTAACAATGAAATCCCATGTATAACAATGGACAGAGGTGTAAATAAGATACTAGTATAGAACAGATCGGGAAAAAATACGAGTAAAAAAAAATCATAAAAAAGTGGGTAAGTCGTGGATGTCGCTCTGCTGTATAGTAGGTTACAAGTGGGTTACTGTATTGGATGGAATTAAATTTGAATCCAATATTATATCATTGTATACGAAAAACGATTCTGAGTGGAGACGGTTTATCTGTATAGGATATATTCTAGATTATTAAAAATTTTTAAATCTAAGATTTCGAAAGAAAATTTGTTATGAATTTCTAACTTAAAATAATTTGCGAATTTTCGTGATTTTTACCTATGTTGTCAAAATACAAACTTTGAATGCTTGTAAAAAAAAAATTGTTTCTGTGTATTTCTTTTTTTTCAACTGCTATTGTAAAAATATGTTAAGMGCCTTGTATTAAATTTTCAAATCTTAAATAAAAAAGGAAAAATGTATATGAATTTTTAGCATAAAATAGTTTGAACATTGCTGTAATTTTTACGTATTTAGCCGACATTTTAACTTTAAATACTTATAAAAAATAATCGTGCCTATGGAATTTTTAATATTTTCCAACTGCTATTGTAACAATAATATGTTAGGTGTCTTGAATTAAATTTGCAAGCTAAAAATAAACTTCAAAAAACTAAAAAAGTTGAAAAATTAAAATGTCTGTAAACAGCTCAATACTAATCAATATATTTTGAATATCTTATAGAATATAGAAAATCTCTATATAAACATTGAGTGAAAATTCCAAGTATCTGCGGTCATTTGTTATAGAGTTACATAAAAATAAGGAAATCGTTAAATGAGAAATCTAGTGAGAATCCAATGTTGTAAAAATTTAGATTTCAAACGCTCATAAAAATGTGATTTGAATTTCTGGTGGACATTTTTTGTGATAAATATTAAAAAACTTATAAGGAATCTTGTATTAAATTTTCAAATCGTTGATTTAAAAATGAAATTTTTTATGAATTTCTAGCTTAAAATAATTTTCGAATTTTTGTGATTTTTTCGTGTTTTGTCAAAATTCAAACTTTAAATGCTTATAAAAAAAATGTGATTTATTTTATTATTATTAATTTATTTTATTTTCAACTGCTATTGTAGAAATATGTTAGGAGCCTTGTATTAAATGTTTAAGCTCTTCTACCCAACAAATACATTTTTATCGATATTAATTTTTAAAAACTAAAAATGATCGAAAATTGCAGATGCCTATAAATAGTTCAACTACATAACTTGACATTTTTTTTAAACTACATGGTGGATAAAATATACTTATTTAAACAGTCGGTGAAAATTGCATGTATCTTAGTCATCGTTTTAAAGTTACATCAAAACCAAAATTGATTTTGTCGAAAACTGATTGTGCGTAAAATTTCCCGTTTTTTCCTTAATTTTTA